GTGAGTCTCTGTGAAAATGCACTTACCAGCACTAAAGAAGCAGCTAGAGGCAATTAGGCTTTAATTTCAAACATCATAACTGATTGGTCTGGTTATTTATTACACTTAGCTGGCTGCTTTGAGCAAAGCCACAAGCTAATAAAGGGGCAGCAGTGTGTTTTCATTTTTTTCTGCTGACTTGCCTGCTTTCTGGGGGTCTCATATGCTTCAGTAAGCATGTCCTGGCTTTTCTTCTGCCTGTGATCTATCACAATCATCTGCCTCTCTCAGCTAACTCCTTCACTCCATCAACCTGTCCCAAGAGATGTCCATTTTGTTGACCATGTGAATTATTGTCTTTGTTTCTCCTTTTTCATTTAAATTTTGTTCCAATTTCTTTGTTGTCTACTCTGCTGAGCAAGATGTTTTGACTGCTCTGTTTTGCTGGGTCATAAACCACTGGTAATAATACAAAGATATTCAAAAGCCTGGGCCTCTTGAAAGCAAACTCTAAAAGCATATCCCTCTTTTTTGGCTTTACAGCATCAGCTAATGTTGCTTGTGACCTCCGTGAACAGCTATGGAGTAAGAATAATGCATTACAATAAGAAATAGTGTTATAAAACCTAAGGAATCATGGTCTTGAACACTTGGTTCTGCCAGTAAGAACTTTGATTTGTTTGAATTGCAGAATAGCTGAACTGATGCTAAGCTGTTTGTAAATGCTTTTTGCTAAAATGAATTGGGATCTACTGCCAAGCGAACGAGTAACCGCATCGCACTCCAGGGGCGGAAATGCTGAACTCAGCAGAGCAGCGAAACTCTGAAAGGACCGTAGAGTTTGGCTTCCTCTCCTCTTTTCACCACCCAGAAAGCAGCCAGTGACACCTTGGGACCAAGGATAAGGTGCTTTATTCTGCCACAGAAAGTTCTGTTACCCATTCAGCAAGTTTCAGGGCACCTTTGCTGTCACTTAGCTTCCCCCGAAAGACCATGCAAGTCAAAGGGCTGATTTCAGAACGCTTAGATAAAGGATGGGTTGTCTCTCTTTACCATAGTTTTAGTGATTGGTGCTAATATCACCCAAAGAGCCTAACGCTTAGATAAAGGATGGGTTGTCTCCCTTTACCACATAGTCTTAGTGATTGGTGCTGAAATCACCCAAAATTCCCCAAGACAAAGGGTTTTTAACAACTATGGGGAATGTAACCAATGCATTTGCAAAGAACATGTCGTAAGGCTTCCCAGACAGTGGCAGCTGATGGTATTGGAACACTTCAGGTTTGGGAAGGGGAAAAAAAAAAAAAAAGGAAAAAAGGAAAAAAAAACTGTCGCCCAGTTATTGTGGAGCCTGAGAACACCGGGAATCTCAAACTGTTTTTGCATCTTCTATTTGTTTTTTAGGAACATTTTAAGACTTCCAAGCATATTACTGTATCTCTCCTCCATGTTATTCAGGCTTTCCCTGATAAACTTTTTTTTCCCCCAACTGGAAGAACTTTGCATCAATTTAGCACAAAGTTTCAATAGTGCCTCTCCTAAGATCTCTGCTAAAGCAACTGTGTGCATCAAGTTTTACATATCCCCTATGAGCATTAGCGATCCAAAACATCTACTGCAGTTAGGAGGAGCAAGCAGACGACTGAATCTTCTGCCAGCTGGCAAATCAGGCAGCACACATATTTGAGAGATAGCAATGATAAACACTTACACAGGTGATTTTCTAGTAACACAAGTGGTACCAGAGTGTGTTTGCAAAGCAAATAATATTTTTTTGCTCTGTTTTTGGAAAAGCTTTCAGGTTGCTGCCCACCTGTGGCAGAGATTTCATGATATCTGCCTTGCATGCGTGAATATTTATAGGTTTTTATTTTATGCTTGGGATCATTAAATCAGAAACCTTCCGTAGAGCATTAATCTTAGTATTTTACACTTTGTTCTCCTGATTCTTTTTAAGCAAATTAGTATTCAAAATGCTTTTCAGATAATTCCCTGTTTCCCAGATTTTTGCAACTTCATATGCATGCCTGGTGTACGTACATCTCATTCTTAAGGGTCCTCAATGTGATGATGTGTGCACAAGAAGCAGCGTACACAAGAAGCTTTTTGTTTTAGAAAAAATCTATTAACCAAAGACAGGAGCTGCCATGTTAATGCAGGCCTGTGTGATAACATTGATACTTTTATCTGTGCATGATAACACGATGAGTATCTGGTATAGATAATTCTATCACATTTTCTAGACTGGGACACTGCAAGACACTTTGCAAACATTTAGGAACGAATGGTTACATTAGTCAGGTCAGTAAAGTAAATGCGAATCTTGGATTCAGGGAAAATGCAACATGGCATGGTTGACTGACTAGCTAAGGGCCCGACTGATGTGCGGAAAAGCCACCAAACTTCCTGTCTTTGCCCTTACACTGAGGCCAGATGTTTTTTTCTCCTAAGACATGTTCTCTCGGGAGTTTTCAAATGCATTTTGCATGCCCAGGAAAGATGCTTATCCCCCTCTCAGTACACCCAAAACATTGCTGACTTCTTCAGCTTCATATTTCTGCAGTAATGACCTACAAGCCATATATTCCCATGAAGCAGAAAAGGAGAAATGATGACCTTTGAATAAATACTTAAGAATTTGTAAGATGCTTAGGCAATGATGTCCATAGTCCAGGAGTTTGAATGGTGCAATGGAAAAGCCATTGGTTCAACGCCTGGCTATGCCGTTGATGTCCAGGATAAGCTCATGAAAGTCACTGTGATATGAAGACATCTGGTAGATGTGGTTGGATTTAAGCTCTTAGAGCCAGCAGAGATTTCAGGATTGCCTGCTGTCTAGGATTGCCTGAGCCTGGAGGAGTGAAAAATACATTGTTCATCCTGCTTTGGACTACAAACATCTGCGTATGATGAAATGTGGGAATTCACACGTACTCAGAAGCCCTTAAGCTCCGTAAGAGCTTAGAGACAGGCAGGAAGGCACCTGTGTGACACTTTGGTCCACGGAGAGGTCCAAGCTGAATGGCATTTTCAGGCAATGTCTAGAACTGGGCTTAGCACAAAAGCAGCTGGGGGAGGAATGCCTGAAATGCCTGTTAGATCTTGTGAGCCTCCGAGCACGTAGGAAGCTAAAGCAAGTAACACACAGCGACACATAACCTAATTTTAATGCCCAGTCCAGTGAACTGAGTCAGACCTTTAATGTGCTCCAGTACCCTTTTTTTCTTTCTTCAAAGCAGGGAGTAACAGATTCTACCTTCTGAGGTGAATAGTGGAAGTGTCCTGGCACTCTGGTAATGAGGGTTGCATAAACACAAATACAAAAGTGGCAATGCCAAATACTTAATTCAAATTCCTTCCTCCCCTCCTGATTCCCTCTCTTCCCTTACACAGGATTTCTGCCAAGTAAATTCATTTTCTGCCTTCAGATCAACATACTGGCCAGTATGTTGTTGGAATCATCAGTTGAGCTGGTATTACTCCGTTTTGGTATGTGTACCCATAGCAAAGGGTTCTAGTTTTGAGAGAGACCCTATTCCCATGATACCTCCCTTTCCGTTTGAGTCTTTAAGAGAGTGTTTTCTTTCTTAATGGTTAAGCCTTGGTTAAAGAGACGAGTCGCTGTTTACATGGTAAAATGAGAGTTTTGCTCTCAACGCGTTTTGTGATGTTCTGTCTTCTAGCAGTATAAAGGGAAACTTATTCGTACTGGTAGGTGATAGATGACCTATTCGAGACCGAAGTGGAAAAATACATGTCAATTTTGCTAAATATGTCTAAATATGCTAGTATTCAGATAACTTTCCAATTCTCTTGAGAAGATTAGACCCTGACACAGTTAGCCAAGCTCAGATGTATTTTTGTGAATAAAATGAGAACTACAGGCAGTATAAATGCTCTGTTCCTTTCCTTCTTTTTATTTTTTAAGCTCTTTTTTTTTTAAATGTTAAATGGCTGTGGTGTTAGTGCCATTGTATGGTTTCTTGGAGAAATTATAGTGTAAAATATCAAAGCACTCCTTCAAAAAAAGAAATGTCACTCCAAGTGTAGCAAATATCAGATCATTTAGCTGTAGAGAGCCTGAAGGTAAAGTGGATGCTGATTAAATATGAAATGTTTGTGTTGGGGAAGGAAGAACTGATATAGGGATGCCACATTATTTTGCTTTATGTTTTCAAGGGGCAAGTGTTCAAAGAGTATAAGCATACAATTCTCCATATTCTTCATGTATGTGTTTGCTTTTTTGTCCTCTGCCTTGTGACTTAACCTCGCTTGTCTTTATGCAATGCCTTGAAATAGGCTCGTGCATCCAATAGATGACTTTGCCTGGCCCAGAAACCTGCAGAGAGAGAACTGTGTCCTGGCACCACACAAATCTAAATGGTGCTGCTGGTTTTGAAATGTTGAGGTTGCGTCTTAGGAGAAGCTGAAATGCATTAAGTGGTGCTCAGTCACCGCTGAGCACACACTGAAGTGTACAAGACTGATCTTGGGATTACCTTGGTTTTTATTTGCTTTAATCAAGAAAAAAAAACTGTCAAGAGGTGTCAATAAGAGCGTGTGTGTGTAATTGGTGGGTAAAAAATAAATAAGAACCTGTTTAATAGCCTTTGAATACAGCAAAGCAAAACAAAGTGTGTTTTTCCAGGATTTGTTGGTGTGTAGATGGATAACATCCCTTGTATTTGCGTGTTCAATGCATTGTCACTTTGGACTTGGGAGTTTTCTGAAATACGGTGCCTGAGTATTCTCACACATGGGCCGTAAATCAGAAATACTTCTACTGGAATAAGCGGAGTGGATTGGTACAAGTGATCCAGTACTAATTTAAGTGGGTGGAAAGACCGAGGGAGCTAGTATGACAGAAAGAACAAGGGATGTCTAGTAACATAAATTTCATTTTTGTCCTAAAACGATCACTTATAATAAGAAAGTGAAGTAAGGATTTACAAAAAGTGCCCTGTAGTTCTCCCAAACTCTCCCAGACAGAAAAAGATGACTTTTCTCATTGCTCACCACAGCCATGCACCTGTTTGGCCTAAACTGGCACCTGCAGCCGATGGAAGGGCAGATGTATGAGATCACGGAAGACACATCGAGCAGTTGGCCAGTGCCAACGGACGTCTCCTTATATCCTTCGGGGGGCACAGGGTTAGAGTTACCTGACAGGAAAGGCAAAGGAGCCGGTGAAGGTATGGTTGGTGTGTGTCCATGTTGTGAGTCTTCTGTCTGCCTCTCAACTGCAGCCATCCAATCTCATGTTCCATTACCCTTAATGCTGCCATTATCAGGTGCTTTTCCAGTCTTTCACGTCTAGAAGTAGTAGCCGTTGGTCTTGTTCCGTCGCTCTTGTTTCCATACATTTCTACGTTTCATATCCTTCTTACATCCACTAATGTGATAGAAGAGTGTGCATTTTTCATCACACGTTTAGCTGCTCTCAAGGTGGAAATGTCTGTATCACATCTCACCGGGGGAAGCATTCCACCATGAAAAGCCTGCCTTGTGTGGCAATTTTCATGGGAAACAAACAAACAAAACCATTTGTGTCTTGAAAATTAAATGATTCCTTGAGCATGGGATCACACTTTCTCTACAGCACTGCAAAATTACTTCTTCTTGACTGCCACCAAGCACCAACATATTTACTAAGAACTATTTCGCTGTAAGTTTTGGCATTCAGAAGATGAACATCTCTTTACAAAAGTAGTCATATGAAAGTCCTACTTTCCACAAAGTGCCATGATGCTGCCAGCTTGCAATTTCAATTGCAATTAAAAGCAATTGATGGTTTGTCAGTTCAGCAGTGCATTATCCAGCAACTTTATATCTCAACACACTTTTACAGAGGCAAGCACTGCCGAAAATACCTGTAAGCTCTGCAGGGTAGAGTTGTTTTATAAATCCCAAGACTGAGTTGAAGAAACAAGGAATCCAAAGGTTCAGAAAGTTATTTTGTTGATGCTTATTCATGAGATTAACAGTTTTCAGGAATTATATTTTTTAGCTATTTTTGCTTGTTATTTTGAGAAAGGAAGGTTTATGGGTAGAAGATAAGGAGAATTCAACTCATAGCACTCAGAAGTCACCTCTAGCAACCTGCTGAATTCAACAGTTTTCACAGAGGTCCCTGGACTTTAACTTAGAGTCTGTGTTTCTATATCTCATTTGTATTACCCGTAGTATTTTTGCTTTAAGAACATTTCTGTTCTTATAAATTTAAATGAAGAACAGTGTATTTCAGCAGTGTATTTCCTAACAACTGATGGCTGGCAAATCAAGCTGCTACAATGAAAAATGAGCTAAGAAGTGGGTTATTTTCAGCAAACCGTACTAGACAGTACAGCAAACCACAGAAATCCCTGGTGCTGTGTTCAAAAATGCTTCATCCTCTCTTCTTCTCTAAGTCACCATATGTTTCATTTTTGAAATATTTGCTTTTGATCTGTCTGTTACCTTCTAAAAACTCAAAATGAAACTATCAATCAATGATGTATCTACCTCAAACTGCAGTCCAAATCAAAGACCTCCACTTGTTTTTCTCCTTCAGCCATGCTCATAATGAAATCAATAAAACTTCTGATTGCTGACAAAAAGCCCTATTAATGGACAAGTCTGGGAAATATGGTATGTAGGTCCTTAAAAGACCTCTCAAGGTAACCCTTCATGCAGATCTTAGAGAATCTTTTGGACATGGAGGAGAATATCTTGTCCTAATTAAAAAATTACATTAGGACAAGATCTTTTTTACAGGGATGATTCCACCCAGCCTGAAAATACAGCTTTTTTTTCCTCCATCAAGTGTCTATGAAGCTAAATCTGGACTAGCAATGTTGCATGATTGCTATTCTAGATAGATCAGAAGGTATGTCTTTGAAATTTCTTTAAAAATTGATCTAAATATATTTTTAGGAGTATTTTGATCCCAATGAAATAGCAGAAACGCGCTAGAATATCCTTAGAGCTGATCTGAATGTTCAGTATCATTATCAGTGCCTTGCCAATTACCAGTAAGTCTTTCCTTTTCTACTATTATTGTGCTCCAGTGAAGCATTTATGTGTGTTTAAGGCCATCCCTGTTCAGCAAAGCACTTAATCACATGCTTGCATTTAAGCATGTAATTAACTGTTATTGAAGTCAGAGGAAAACGTGTGTTCTGAAGTGATTTGGTGCGTCAGGGTACCTTGCTATCAAAGCTGCAAGCAGATTCAGCGGTGGCTGACATGAAATAGTTCATTTTGATAACCAAATAAATTAGGATTAGTTGCTACGGCAACTAAAAAGTTCAAGGTAATGTGTAGAAAGAGCAAGTAATTGAGGGACTAATTAAGAATTCAGACCTGAAGTTAATTTTAAGTAGTCAAATATTCTGATTAAAAACTCATTTTTGATTAGAAGCTGAAATTACTTTCTTATTGTACTTTATGAAATATCCAGTCCTTAGGGTCTGGTCCTGCTAAAACTAGCAAAACACAGATTGTTTTGGGGGACTGGAATTCAGCCTGGTGAAGAGAGTCCTTCTTTGGACTTTTGTGACAGGGTAAATCTCAACCACCGGCAATATCCTAGAACTGCTCTGAGGATATCAGCTTTTCTCACTTAAAATTGTCCACCAAGAGGAGGCATAAACTTTGTAATAGTGTGTACAAACAATTATTTCTGTGGCGTTATCTTTTTTGGTTCAATCACAGCAGCATTTTTGCTTGCTCGAGCAAGCGTTGCTCTCTGTAGAGGCAGAATACACACTGTGCTTATTTCCTCCAGGCTATCCCCAGCATAGCAACAACTACCATTTAAATTCTCACCTTCCCCGATTCCCTCACAATCTTTATTAATGAACAATCAGGGAGCATATCAAACACTTTAGGTTTTCATCTGAGTTTCCTTGAATCTATAAAATATGTCAGTAGTAATCAGAAAAATATATCCATATGGACCAAAACATGTGGTTCTTCTTTAATAGAATCCTGCAAGACTTTGTATCTCACAATAACAGAACAAGCGTCTTTGCATGAAGACTATAGGAAATGTTTCTTCTAATCCTGCTAGTGTGAAAAGTAATTTTTAGTATTCCAGATAAATATTAACAATCCAGTAAAATCCTCTGAATCAAGATAGTCTGATTTTCATAGTACAATTGTACTTTATCATTTTCATCATGAGAGGTTCAGTAGGAATCTCCATTTCCCAAAACTGCTTCTGATTATCTACGTTAATCTACATTTTGACTAAAAAAAGAATAAAATAGTCTGCAGATTTTTCTCCAGTTCTCATTTGAATGTAATGAACAAGGATAAATGAGGGTATGATAAAACCAGCATTTTTGTTACACGAACAGGTATACACCCACTGCTTTCTAAACTATACTAGCATGGAATAAAAAACTTCTGCCATAAGGTAGCTGAAAAAATGAAACATACCATCGAGTCCCACTCCAGCACAGTACTTGAATAGTTGTTAACTTTACATCATGAATAATGTTACTCACAGCAAAAGTTGTGCTGAGAAGTTTTATACAATAGAAGAAAAAAGGAAGAGAAAGATTCTCCATCAATAGAACATCTCTAGATAGTTGTGCTTTTTTGGTAACAGATAACATGCATTTGATTTATATATGTACTTTAGAAAGAACTAACGATTTACATCAGATTCTCCTAGGCAGTTTTTATTGCGATAAGATGTAGAGGAGAAATTTTTTATTTCTTATTTCCCACATACAGGGTATGGAAGCAAAATTCTCACAATATGATTTTCTTACAAAAGACTGTATGTTCCTGAGATTCTATTTCTCATTTTATTAGAATTGCTTGATTTATTAAGCATAAAGCAGTGAGCTATAGTGGCACAGAGATAAAATAAAATTGATTTGAATTTCCAGAAATAATAAATACACTGTGTTTATTATCTGAGGAAGCCCCCTCATGTAATGAGGAAGCCCTCTCATTTTCTGGGCTTCATTTGGGTCCAGATTTTTCAGAGACCACCAATTTTGAGAACTTCAGGAGTGTGGATGTCTAACCTGAAATTCCTCAGAAGTATTTTCCAGGGATACTGAGCTCCCTGGTGGCATAGTGAGACTTTATGACATCCACCGTTTGCCATCGCTCAAACTTGGCGATCACTTTAAGAAACAGATGTTTCCACTTCCTTGCTTGCTAAAAGAGGATTGAATATCCTAACACACTTTACAGGTTGTATTGAAATCTAATTAAAACTACTTGAGTTTCTTAGTAGATATTACTTAAATGCAGAATTTGATTTTCTTCATCTTTTCCTCTCAGTCCCATTTTCTTCAGCCTCTTTTGGACTGATGAATGAATCTCAAATACTGTTATCACTGTCAAGCATTAATTTAATGGAGAAATATTTTCCTTTCTCTAGTTAGGCATCACTCATACTGCTGTTCTCCCCACCACCATTCCATTTCGTGACACGTCTACCTCACAATTACTTCACTTCTCTTTGCTAACGCAATAATGTCTTCTCCATAACTGAACATATATTAATTTATGAGGTAATGCAACATGATTTATTTTTTATCATCTGAATGTAATTAATCTGAATCTCAAGGTTGCTTTTGCCATATTCCTGTTTCCAGACAAACGGTTACTGACACCAGGAATAACGCAGCCGGTTTTCTTCCCATAATTGTTAAAGATTTGGTACACAAAGTATTCTGAAGACTTCAGGACAGTAATAGACTGTTTCTCAAGATCACTGTTAGAGATATCAGTATGACTGGATTACTTTCAGGATCTAAGGCTAATCCAAGATTTTTCTTCCTGTATTTTGGCAGGAAAGCCCAGTAGTTTCTTTCCAGACGACAGTTTTATAGACTCCGGGGAAATCGATGTTGGCAGAAGAGCCACACAGAAGATCCCTCCTGGTATCTTTTGGAGATCTCAGGTGTTCATTGACCACCCAGTGCATCTGAAATTCAATGTGTCTCTAGGAAAGGCTGCTCTGGTGGGCATCTATGGCAGAAAGGGCCTCCCGCCGTCACATACACAGGTAATGGGACCTCATTTCAATGAGGCAATAACCATCTTGGAATTTGTGCTGTTATGTTTTATTATTTTTATATTTCAGCTGTCTCAACAGTTCACTGTATGCTCGCGAGATATTAAAGGTCGTATGTTCCAGAGAAAGATAATAAAGTAGCAATTGAAAGATATTCACACATTGACCTGGCGGCCTCTAAGCACAGACAAAACAGGCAACTGCCTAAGGCAGAAAGTTGACGGAGGAGAAAAAGTCTTCCATGGCCTGGCAGTCACTGAGGGAAATAGCTGGTTGCTTCTAGTAGCATGTGAAAACGCTTGCACCAACCTGTGTCCTGTGTGGCAACAGGGTCCCTGAAACTACGTGGAAAGAATCTGCTCTTAAGTTACAGAAACAAAATTCAATTTTATGTTCTGTGCTTCTGTGCTTGAGTTGACTCTTCACATTATGTCTATTGACTGTCAGATTAGGCTGAGATTGGCCAGGGGCCAATAATTGGTGTATAACCAAATAAAATCAAGTTGCTACAGAAAGCCACTGTCTTACTTAAGCAGAAATCAAGAAATAGCTGTTATTATTCTTTATAACTAAAGTGAAAGCTGTTGTTTTTCTGGACATAGCTTCGCAAAAGCTCTGTCAAGAAATCACTTTCTGGGGAAAGCTCCAAAGACCCATCCCCTTAAATGAGGCTATAGTACATTATTTTCTCTACTTTCTATTTTCATTTTCCAAACTGCTCTTTACCAGATTGATCAATATATTAGGGTATAAGTCTCATTAGCAATGCAAAGTATCTTACTCCAGCTTGGATCAGCAAGTTATCAAATTATTACCAGAGTTATGTTACTCATTTAACTTACCCATTCCCATTAACAACTGGAAAATTTAGCAACAAACACAAATATTTGGGATTTATAGAAATATCCTGTCCTTATTTTATTTTTTAGCAAGTAAATATGTTTATACAAACTTCCAGAGTAACATGTAGGTGATTTGCTATTTTCTAGCCCTAAACACACCTACAACTTATTTATGTCAAGGAGTTATCATAAATCTACGCTTTCTTTGCTGCTTTTCTGCAGAATTAAAGCATTTCAATAGGATTAGCAGATCATAAATTCAGTGACACAATAGTTAATGCTATTATTACCCACTTTTAATCAACCTCTCTTGAAGGGGAAATTCAGACATTTAGAAAGTAAAACTCCTCTATTATTTAAATAAGGAAGTTAAATCTTGGTCACAACAGAATTAATAGTTGTAGATCAGAAGCCTGTGTTAACTCTGACTGTTTATTTCTGTTACAGGAACAGGGGTATAATAGGAATAATTTCAATTTTCTAAATTACAAAGGCAAAATTTAACTCCTCAGCTTTGTGAAAGCCTGTCGAACTTCAAGCAAAATGTTTAAATGGTAGTGGGGTCATGTCAAACAACCATGGCAATGTTTTGAACATTTAGGAGGCGCATTTTGTTTTCAATATTGGGTTTTTATTAGCCTAATTTTTGTTGAGATATCCTGAGTGAACATTTCTTGTTTTATCTGGAGCTTTCCTATTTGAAACAGCACAGTTAGGTACCAGTTAAGGGCTTCAGCAGTGAATACGAAGTTACACAAAGAATGTGGAGCATCTTTGTCAAAAATACATGCTGAGGGAAGCAATGTACTTGTAAATGCTGCTTTTTGTGTTGCTCGTGTTTAGAGATGGCAGGTGTATTCATAAAATCACCATGTGGACCAAAACATCATCAAAAATGACTAGAGGTTTTTTTTTTTTTTTCAAACAATGACAGTCATGCTGGAATAATAGAACCTGTCCCCAGATTTGCCTTTTTGAGAAGAAATATTATAATAAAACACAGATTTTTTTAAAAAAAATGCTTTTAAAATACTGTTTGAAAAAATGCTGTCAGTTAAAACATCTTATTATCTTATTAAAACGTCTTATTTTGTATAATGCTATATTAATTTTAAGCTTCAAAATTTAATCTCACCATAGCTTATTAACTTTCCTTTGGCTTCATTAAAAACAAACAAAAACCAAAATATTATTTTCTATGTTGAAAAGGTAAACCAGTCTCATAGTTAATACACTTTATGCAAGTTTCATCTTTTCTGCCTATTCCAAAACACTCCATATATCTATCAAATGATTTTTATATTTCCATATTTTGTAATGAATTTCAATACATCGATGAAGTTTGTGTTTAGTGCAATGACAGAAAGTGCTCCTTGGAAAAATTTAATAAAGGGTCAATGTTTTTCTCAGCCTATCTTGTCAATGGTGGTAGTAAAATTCCAGCTGGCAGAAAGACTTTCATCTGTCTTGGTTTAAATAATCTGCCTTCTGTGATGTTGGTTTTAACATAGCCCATCCTCTTTGAAGAACCTTCAGCTGTTACCCAAGCAATAGACCCTTAACACATATTCCTCATTTGGTAAAACATTAAAAGTCATATTTATCCATTCTGAAACAACAAACTATTCCAGCTTCTCCTTGGGAGTCTTTCTCTGTCTGTGGTGTTTGTCATCCACTCAAGGTTGCTGGCAACTGTAGACACTAATAAGAAGGAAGAAAGTACAAGCTTCAAATTTCCGTAATCTTAAAAACAGAACCTGTAAAAGCCCAAAAGAATTTATTGGTAACTAAAAGCATTTCTTCTAATTCCTCTCAACAAATTATAATAAAATTTATGTAATTTTCTTATGGTATGTTAACTTTAATCTTCCTGTATGAAATAATACTTTAAGACTCTTTTTAACTGAAGCCAAATTTTGTTAAATCATAAATTCTAGGAATTGGCTATCAGAGCTGATGGGAGGTATTTCTCCACTTATACAATTTGAATTGATTAACGTGGTATTTTAGTGACAATTTCCTTGCTCGCAATAACTCTAATTGCATATTAAAAAACTCTGAATGTATTAAACATGTAATAAAGCATAATTCATTTGCAGTTCAGTTCATATTTGTAACTATATAAAAGAGTAACTTTGCAAAGTCATGAACATCCAAAGCACTAACAACGCATTTATATTTATAAAAATAAACTCTTGCATTTGGCAGGAACCATCAGGAAAGCCTAACCCAGACTGGACTGTAACAACAGATGATCTGTAGATGATCTCTAGAGATCCCTTCCAACCTCAACCATTCTGTGATTCTGTAACAGCAGCTCCCTGCAGATGAGGGCCTTGGAGTCTTTTTCATCCAACTAAGTTTTAAGCATCTACATCTACCATGTAGTACAAACTAGATGCTGTTAGTGTACAATTCATTGGACATTTTTTCAATGTCGACTTTAGGATAAGATAGATTGTCTTCTAGAAGTGTCTATTTCTTTAATTGACTGTCCTTTAGTTTCTAGAGAACTAATTCAACTTGCCATTCAAGTTGTCAACACTTTAGGAAATTAACTTTGCCTATGATGTCTGCAGTCATCTGTTCTTTTAATACACTTTTTAAAACAGTCAATTCCAAAACAGAATTGGAAATATGTGAATTTTACTTTCATCAATTTTAACTATTTCAGTAGACTTGGCCAGTGTGTTCCACAGTCAGATGCAACCTCAATGGAAAATTCCTAAGACTAAGAGAGCTGGGCCTGTTTAGCCTAGAGAAGAGAAGACTTCTCTTCTGAGAGGAGATCTGATCAACATGTACAAATACCTGAGGGGAGAATGTAGGGAGGATGGGGCCAAACTCTTCTCCATGGAGGCCAGTGGCAGGACAAGGGGTGGTGGGTACAAATTGAAACCCAGGCAGTTCCACCTCCATGTGAGGAAGAACTTCTTTCCTGTGAGGGTGCCAGAGCCCTGGCACAGGCTGCCCAGAGAGGCTGTGGAGTCTCCTTCTCTGGAGATCTTCAAAACTCGCCTGGATGCCACCCTGTGCCCCGTGCTCTGGGTGTCCCTGCTGGAGCAGGGGTTGGACTAGGTGATCTCTGGAGGTCCCTTCCAACCTCAACCATCCTGTGATGCTGTGAAACACCCAGTTTTTGTTACAATAAAGGCAAAAAGTTTAGGAATCCAAATTTTGTTGCCTCGCTGAGCCAACATGTACATCCAATAAGTGAAGTAGCATCTACTGGCCCACGTACTTGTAAGTGGTTTTGTTTCTTTATCGCTGTCATCCTTCCTGCCAAAAAATACAAGCTTATTTGACCAACTGGATGAGAGAGGCAATAAAAAAGCAAAAGCTTTAGGTTACCATGTGCTCTGACTATCAGGTTCTGCTCACAACATGTCCTATTCTAGACTAGTCCACCTAACCACAAGATGAGGGTCAGATTAGATAAGGCTCTCTTAACATTTGTGATATCTGTTAGGCTTGTATCTGACCTGTCACATTAATATATCACTAGACAAAACACACTTACAGCAAAAAGCTATTGTCTTACAACAGCAGGAAGCAAAAGGTATTTATAATTCTATAAACTTTTACCAGAATTTACTTGCAAATCCAGCTTATTGTTTTGTTTTTGTTCTGTTTGAAAGCAATTTAGCAAACATTCCTCATTTTTAGATCTATTTTCCTTATTATCTGAGACAGAAATAAACTGACAAATAAGCTTTTGAGTACCTCCTTTTCATCAACGGACTTACAGTGCAATTTAGACATGTCAGCAAATTCCCTGGACATAGTTTTTCCTGCCTGTGCTTCCACAAAAGCACATCAGTAGGGTAAATATGCCCAAATCCCATTCTAAATATAGATGATTTCTTGATTCATCTATTTACAGACAAATTTATCCATTTATATGCTAGCTATTTCCAGAACAGTTATTTGCCAGTGGTCCATGAACATGCATAAGGTCCAAGGCCATGTTGTTTAGGATGCTTTTGTAAATGCACATTTCTATCATTTGTTGCAAAGCATGTCTATCTTCATCATAGAACAGACCAAAAGCAAGACACTGAGCTTGGAACACCCGTGGAAAATCATTCTTTTTGTCTTTGTGTTTCAGTTTGACTTCGTTGAGCTCCTTGATGGAAGACGTCTACTAACGCAGGAGGCAAGAAGCCTAGAAGGACCTCAGCGGCAACACAGAACTTTTATGCCACTGTCCAGCCACGAGACAGGGTTTATCCAGTATTTGGATTCAGGAATATGGCATTTGGCCTTCTACAATGATGGCAAGGAGTCAGAAGTGGTTTCTTTTCTTACTACTGCTATTGGTAAGGATTTCCTGTTTTAGTCCTAAACTGTCTGGCTTGAGGCAAGCTGTTAATGCACATCCTCAAATTGCATGGTGACTTGGTGTGATGTTGGAGACAATGCTTGTAGAGGATGTGTTTAACGACAGTCTAAATAATGTTAGGCCTTAAATAGCTCGTAAGTATTTTATAGGCCTTTTAAATAACCATATCCAGAACCAGATTACACCCAGTAACAGAGGGGGATTGCAAGCTTGAACTTCCCTTCTTCATTCTCTTCCTTTGATCTTCTTTTACTTGACTTCTTTTTAATTTTTTAATTTTTGCAGTAGAGGTATAAGAATGGTTTAACATCACACAGAAGCACCATGCAACAGTTTAATGTGGCAATCCTATCCGAACAGTTTCGAGCACCCTCAAAATTGCCCAGTTTTGCCCTGGAGTTCAGGCTGAATACTGCAACAGTTTAATGTGGCAATCCTATCTGAACAGAGTTTTGAACACCCTCAAAATTGCCCAACCTGGAGTTCAGGCTGAATATTGGGGTCAAACTGCAGCCCTGCAAAGAGCACTGCACAACTTAGTAGTCAGAAACACAGCAACAGCTCCTTTCTAACAAAAATAAACTGAGTTTTTAGTTTTGTTTTTATTTCAATAAATGCAAATTAACTCCACAGATCTTTTAGCTGCTCTGATGCCAACATGTCCTGCCAGTTCAGGGCACAGGCACTGGTTTATTACTGTCTAGGGAGGGCAGGATGCTGTCGGGGTCTCCCTGACAGCACAGTGCACTAGCTGCTCTTCCTCCACCCTGGAAATATCTCAGTCCATGAAGAATCCCCAACCTCCTGTTTACATTCAGGCATTCCTTAGAATCTGCTTCAGACTGAGTAATGCTTAAGTT